GCCAGTGAGGAAGCTTCGGTTGGAAATGCCTGACATTTTACCTCGCTGGGCAGAGAGCCCCATGTTCAATAACCTGTCCCAAGAAGAAGCCTGAGGCCAAGTGGTTAGCCAACAGCAGTGACCACTACATGTAAAGCATTTCCCACCAGCCAGGTCCTGCCCCTTCCCTCAGATGGGGAAACTGAGGCTCAGAGAGGTAGCTGCCTCATCCAAGGGCTCACCAGTGATGAAGCTGTGGGACTGATCTCACCCCAAAGCCAGTGGGTGACCCCAGCCACCTCACCCCAGCCCGTCCTGCTGCACCATGACAAGCCTCAGGAAGATGACCATGTTGGGGGACAGAACATAAGAGGCAAGGATGCCAGAAATGACACTGGGCCAGACAAGGAAAGGAAACAAAACTCAGGGATACAGAAGGCTTTCAAAGCAAAGATGGTGAATAATCACCATAAGAGGAAATGGGGAGATGCTGTTTATAAATACATTGTTGAGTATCTGTGTTAGAAAGAACCCAGTGCCTGAACTCAAGGCCCTTGTGCTAATGTTTACCATATTGTAAGAGTGAGGTTTTCATAAAGTACTCTGGGTTTAGCCTGGGCAGGCCTGCAGATAAGAGCCTTCCAGAAGAGAACAGCATGACTGGGACCAAACTTCTGGCAACCCAGAAGTAAACGGAGAGATTACTGCTGGTTTGGAGGGTTCTCTGTATCTGCTGTGGCCTCCCCCAGGGCCAGCAAGCTCAGTCCTTACAGACAGTTCTTTGGCCGCCTAACCCTTGGCCACTGTCCCTAATCTGCTGTTGCCTGAAACACTTTGTGTCTTGGTTACTTCCATTGCAGAGGTGTTAATAATTCTGCACACCCACTGAATTACCTGATGTTCCTGTAACCTAATGCCAAATATCAAACCACCCGAAAATGGAGAAGCTTAAGGAAAATAATATCTATTTTGCTCCCAAGTTAGCAATTCAGGCAGTGTTCAGTGGGGATATCTTGTCTCTGTTTATGCAGCGTCTTTGGAGCAGCTCCTAGGCTGAGGGCACTGGAATCTTCTGAAGCTTGGTCACTAACATGTCTGGCCTTGATGCTGGGAAGACGCAGACAGCTGGGCTGGACCAGTGGGAGCTCCCTGGGCCTCTCCTGAGCTCTGTGGGTTTCCTGTTTGTGGGTGGTGCTCTAGCTTAGAGGTCCCAGGGCTTCTGTCCTGCCGGCCCAGGGCTTCCACGGCGCACAAACATGGAGCGAGCCCAGTGGGAGCCATGTGACCCCGTCTGACCTCAGAATCCATAGCACCCCTCCTGCCACATTCTGGTCCACAGAAGCTGGTCATTAAGCAAGGGACTCAGACAACCCCCTGGTCGGAGGTATCCAAGAATTTCCCAGCATCATTTCTACACACCACAACTGAGGGAACCCCAACCCTCCACGGTCTTAGCTTCTGAGGCAGCTAAATCTAAAACGCTCCTCGACTTTCTCAGAGCAGGTGCTTCTACAGATTGCAAAGGCCTAAAAGTACAGAACTTTCAAACTCTCTCGTTTAGACCCTTTTATTTAAAAATCCATCACTATTTGAAGAGGGATGCAGCAAAATTTCAGAGGTACAGGGGTAAGCCTCCTGTTTGTTCCACCTATGAAAGGTTTGTGCCAACATCCTCCCACCAGGGCAAAGCAGTCTCCCAGATTCTCCGGAGCAAGCTCTCACTTTACATAGTCTGGAGTGTGACTGAGAACCAATGGATATGCTAATGTAAGTGTTCCTCTCTGTGCCTTGTAACACAGACCCAGAGGACTTCTACTTGACCACCCCTTCTCCTTCACAGGGGAAGGGGCCTGAGAGTGGCCACACTGAGCTTCCTTAAAATAGTCTAGGATTTAAGCATTCCAGGAATTCAAAATATCTCCTGCTGTAACTGAGCCAAATTAGTGATGTCATTTTTGCTGAGCTTATATATAAGGTCATTTTGGGGCACTCTGTGACAGTGGTTCTCAGAGTGTGATCCCCTGATACCAAGAGCATCCCCTGGGAGCTTGCAAATTCCTGTATCCCATCCCAGTCTGACTGAATCAGCAGGTCTGGGGGCAGGACCCAGCACTGTGTTTCAGCAAGCCCCCTGGGGGATGCTGGGGCCCATGCCAGCCTGAGAAGCCCTGCCTCGTGGGGGTGAAGGGATAGGGGGCTGAGTGTAGTCAGGCCCAGGGTGATGACCGACAACAAAACTCGTATGACTTGATTCTCTGGCCTTGCAGAGATGGACAGAGTGGAAATGGAAAGTGCAAAGCTCATCGGTGGGAGGAATAACCTCCTGCCAGTCTGCATGCTTGTGGTGTTACCAAAAGGAACCCTGGGCCTCTGAACCAATAGTGAATCCTGCCTCCAGCGTGTTTTGATCATCTTGGGAAGGTGATGTCATCCCAGAGCCTCAGGTTCCTCCTCTATAAGGAAGCTGGGGTGGAGATAACAGGGATTTCAGCTAATCATTATTGCATCCTTGAAAAGTCCATTAATTCTGTTATCTCATGTAATCCATGCAACAATCCTGTGATGTTAATATTACTAGTAGTATCCCCATTTGACAGGTGAAAAAACTAAAGCAACTTGTCCCAGTCACACAACTAGCCCTGCTTTCATCCACCCACTGCAAATTTAGCAATTGTAAACCTCAGGACCAAGGGCTGTAATGTGTAAGTTTGTGATGAGAAAGGCAAGATCACAGGTCCCGAGCAAGCTGGGCATCCCAACTCTTGATTGCCAGTCTGCACCCAGGGGCGGAGAGGCCAGCAGGCTGCCAGAGCCGGGAGAGCCAGGACACCATAGGCGCCATCATCCTTGGAGGCCATAGGGAAGGGGGCTTGGGAAACAGCCCAGAGGCCAGAAAAGGAAATCGGCTCCCGACACACATTGACAGGACTGCTCACCCAGACATCTTGTTTCCATAAACTGGCTGTGCTGGTGTTTCCTAGAAGAGGGCTGGTACTGGAAGGAATGAGACCAAGAGTGGGGATACTGGCAAAGCAATGAAGGAAGAGCCATGCCTGAGACGGGGCCTTGACAGAGCACTTACCCACGGTGGGAGGGCTGGACCAGGCTGGGAGAGCACCGGCCTCCCTGGCCTCAGGAACCATCCTTGTCCCCTTCCTTTACCTTAACAGCCTCCTTAAAGACCTCACCTCCAAATACAGTCACATTCAGGGTTAGGGCTTCAACACACGACTTTGGGAAGGATACAGTTCCATCAGTAACACAGGTCTACTAATGAGAAAACTGGGATTTTTTTTTTAGGAGAAAACATTTCACTGAATTGGAGTTCAAATGTAAAATTCATTCTTAGCTGGTGGGTCCTACAAGACAGGCAGCCAGCAGGTCTGGCCACAACCAGTTTGCTAACACCTGACCAAGTGGCCGCACAGCACTGTACAAAGAACTTGAGGTCAGGCTCGGGCCCTGCTCAAATCCCAGCTCTGCCTCCTGTGTGCTATATGTTATTACCAAGCCATCTCTGAATCTCTCTGAACCTTAGTTGTGACCATGTCTGGGAGTGGGGAGGAAGATGATTTCCCTGAAAGGGAGATTAACTCCAGAAGGCGGAGTAACTATCTAGGGCTTTGTGGAAGGGGTATTAGTAGGGAGCGCAGAAGCCTAAGCATAATGCTGGACATAGACCTGCACCAAGGCAGTGTCAATGTCATCACCACTGGACTTGTGAGCAGGAGGAGAAAACTCAAAAATGACGTGAAAGTTTTATGGATTGAGTTTGTGCTCTGGGTAGAATGTGATGAGAATGGCAATTTACCATTGTGTTTTTCCTCCAAAGTAACCATGACAATAATATCAGATCAATCCCAGGTGGGGGACATTCTACAAGATAACCTGACCACAGCTCCCCCAAACCATCGAGGGCATCAAAAACAGGGAAAGTCTGAGAAACTATCCCAGCCCAGAGGACCCTAAGGAGACGTGGTGACTACCTATAATGTGGTGTCCCTGCTGGGATCCTAGAAGAGAAAAGGGACAGCAGGCAAAATCTAAGGACATCTGAATAAAGTTTGAACTTTCACTAATAATAGCATATTAGTACTGGCTAGTCAACTGTGACAAGTGTACCCCATTGATATAAGATATTCAGAACAGGGGAAACTAGGTGTGGGATATGCGGGAAGTCTCTGACCATCTCTGCAATTCTTTTTTTAATCTAGAACTATTCTGAGATGTAACGTTCATTCTAAAAATGATCATGCATGGGTGAAAGATCCTCCAAAGTGCGAGGTGGACCAGTGGGTTTAATGTAACAAGGATGGAAGGCTGAATGATAGGGTTTCAGATTCCACATTAACTAACTTCTGAGAAACTACCAGGTTTTGATGTAGCATCAAAGAAGAATATCATAGTTACCTGGAAAGGCTGTTAAAATGCTCCTCCCTTCCTTCTCCAACTTAATATCAGTGTGAGGTCAGATTTTCTTCATATAATTCCAAGAAGACAACATAATATGAAAGATGAAGCTAAAACACGTACCAGAATCCAGCCACTATTGAGCCAATCAAAGAGATTTGCAAAATTCCAAAACAATGCCCCCACTTCTCAATAATTTTTCTGTCTTGGAAACGGTAGTTATTTTTAATTACAAACATTTATGTTAAGATGTCAATTCATTATTTTTTTTCAATGAATACATACTTAATTTTTTTCTCAGTTTGCATTTGTTGTAAACAGCAACAGCTATTTATCCATATGAAGAAAAACGGTTCGGCGTTCTTAATAATGTTTAAGAGGACACAGGGTCCCGAGGACAAAAAGTTTGAGAATCACTGGGCTAAATAAGTTCTTTATGTAGTCGTCACCATCTACCTATTATTGCCTCACTTTGCAGGTGGGAAAACTTAGGGAGAGGCACAGTAACATGCTCAGGGGCCTCCAGGGTGTAGGGAGCCCGGAGGGCACACTCTGCCCTGTCCCTGTCCTCTCTGACGGCCTTGCTTCCACGGGGCGCCCCCGGCCCCTAGGTCTGCGAACTCTGCAAGGGCGTGGCGGCCGCCGACAGCCCCGTGGTGTACTCGGACAGGGCCGGCTACGGCAAGCAGTGGCACCCCGCCTGCTTCGTGTGCTCCAAGTGCTCCGAGCCGCTGGTGGACCTCATCTACTTCTGGAAGGACGGCGCGCCCTGGTGCGGCCGCCACTACTGCGAGAGCGTGCGGCCGCGGTGCTCCGGCTGCGACGAGGTGAGGGCCCGAGGCCCGGGGGTGCGGCCTCAGGGCTGTGTGTGCACCACGGAGGCAGGGCCCCCGTGCTCTCAGTCTCCTCCTCAAAGGGCTCAGGCCCCAGCCTCGGGATGGCCGGGGTGGGGCAGCCGCAATGCCGCAGACTGCTGGGCACAAGGCCTGGCACTCAGTGAGGGCTCGGGGGGGACATTCGGGGACATTCCCGGGAGTCAGGGCCAGGAGACCAACCGCCCACACTCAGTCCTGGCTCTGCCTGTCGGCCCAGTGCTTCCCTAACCCCCATGCCTCGGCTTTATCCTCAAAAGATGGGAGGGTGGCTGTGCCGCCCCACGGGGCTACCAGGAGGACACAGGGGTTAATGCCTTCAAACACTGCCCCGGGCTGGGCCAGGCGGCTGCTCCCCAGGCCCACAGCTGCGGGAAGGTAGTACCCCAGAGCTGACCTGCTGATGTGAGTCAGTGGAACCAATTGGCCCACAGCCAGGCAGCTGGTAAATATGTAAGTGAAACCTCATCCCTGGCTCCTCTCTGACCCCCGAATCAGAAGGCACGTTCAGCCAGTGTGCTGTTCTGCTCTGTTGCTCACCATGTATATGTCCCAAAGTGTTACTGTATGCCAAGGCCGAGTGGCCCGGTGTGTCCTGCCCCTGAAGCCGAGCCACTGGCCGCCTAGCTGTCATCAGGCTGCCTCGGGACACAACTGGGCTTTGAGTTTGGTCCAAAGAATATCACAGACGCTAGATAAGGAAAACCTGCCAATGGAGAAAGATTTTTTTCTCTCTTGAGAAGCTAAGATGCAAACCATGACCTTCACTGAATATTGTACTTACTGCCTGAGCGTTAGGTCAGATTCCTCCACTGAAGCATTTAAAGGTCAAAACAAGAAAGGGGGGGTCGGGGGGATGAACCCCCATCCTACAGCTTGCCCTGGATGCACTGACTCTACTTAGGGACAGAACCTGAGTCGTGCTTTTCTTCCACTCCCCTCCCCAGATAATATTCTCGGAGGACTACCAGCGCGTGGAGGGCCTGGCCTGGCACCGAAAGCACTTCGTGTGCGAGGGCTGTGAGCAGCCGCTGAGCGGCCGGGCGTACATCATCACCAAAGGCCAGCTTCTGTGCCCAACGTGCAGCAAGTCCAAACGCTCCTGAAGGGCTGCCCATCCACGGTCCCACTGGGCCCCACTGAGGAGGGAAGCCACGTGTGCCGAGCCATCCTGAGGGTCTGACGGGACAGCAAACAACAAAAACCGTGATTTTTTTTTCCAGTGGGATTATATATACACATATGTTCTAGGTTGGCTGCTGATGGATCCTTGAAGTTCAATAGATTCAAAGCCAGAAATATTCTGAGAAGTCTTAGGATGGAGTTATTTTATTTTTGTTGTTTTTTCCCAGCCACCAAACTAAAGATCCAGTTGGCATCCTGCGAGGCATCTCCAGGAGGAGTTTCCCAGAATGCAATTCTGAGTGATCAAATCACATAGCTGTAGAATGTGCTTGCTTTCCGTGAACGCGGGAGCTCCTGCAGGAACACGCTGGGATCAACAATCATTTCTTGTCTCCTTTTCAAGTGGGATTTGCATTTCAAATAAGTAAATTTTTTGGCATGATAGACATAGCAATAAAAGTTTTATGGAGTCCACATACACCCTGATCTAATTATTGATGCCACGGCAGATATTGCAGCATCCTTTTAGCCCAGGACCCTGAATGCTGGTGCTGGCAGAAGGCACTGTAAGCATTAGTTCAGCTCTTCATTATTTGTGTCTCATCAGATCTCCTTTGGAAGTGTAGGTCCTCCAGCAGAACCCCTCTCCCCCAGTTCCAGGTACCCCCAGATCACTGACAGAAGCGTGAGAGTCGTGTTTCATGGGACACCAAAGTGCGGCCTCTGGGAAGTGATCAGCTACTTAAAGAGCAGGGACCTGACTCAGCTGCCCTCAGAGCCCAGACAGGTGTAATGAGTGAACCCCTTCTGGAGCAAGAACTCCAGACAGAGTGCTGGGGAGCGGCCACACTGGGCCACCTAAGCTGAGCCAGTGGCTGTCCCATGGAACGTGGTGACCAGTGGGACCAGACCCAAAGAAATAACAGAATTTCTGTGAGAAATCTCTCCAGTTTTTAAGCGTTGCCAACTGAACACTGAACGAGCCAAACAGAAGAGGCCTTGGAGCCATATTTTCTCTCTTTTTATGGCCTCTCTGAGCAATTTGCATGCCCAAATTAGTTTTCTTCCCATGATTTCTAAGAAAAAACATTTCTTTTTCTACTGGGGATGTAAGAACAAAAGCACACAAGCTTCTAGAAGCTCACAGCATGGTCACCAATGGCCTTCTTTCTGTCCTAAACTTCCTGCTATGTGTTTCCTAAATCCCCCCCACCTAAGTTGCCCTCTCATCTGCAATACCCCAGGAGTGTGCTTGCAAGCCTGACCAAACCTACTGCAATTTTCTTCTACGGTGGTTTTCGGCTTCCAGTTCCTCTCCAGCCACCCTCAGTGTCCATCTTCTCAAAGAGAAGCTTTGGGTGGGTATTCCTCACCCACCCTCCGTGGCTCCCCATTCTCTCCTAAGTCAAGAACCAAGTTCTCACCCTGACACTTGAATCCCTTCCACACCTTGGCTTGACTCTCCTTCTGGCCTTCTCTAGTTTTCTATGTCCTTATTTCTGTCAGACATTCACACACTCCCTTTCATCAAACCCTCTGTGCTTTTGCCAGCTCTGTCCTGGTTACTTGAAGACCACTTCTGTCTATTGAAATTTGATCTGTCCCGCAAGCTGTTTCTCAAACATGACCTGCTTCGCAGTCCCTTCCTGGAAGCACCAATGCAATATTCACTCATTTGTTCTCTCATTCATTCACTCATTCATGCAAATATTCACTGAGTACTACAGAGGTGCATTTCCCAGCCTAAGTACAGGGGATACAAAGCTTACTGAAAGAGCAATGCCCCTGCCCCCTGGATTTTACAGTCTTGGGGGAGATGGGCTTTGAACAAATAGTCCCACCAGTCAGTGTAATATCACAGCAACTGTGGATGCTACACAGGGGAGGTACATAGGAAAGAGATTGGACCTAGTCCAACCAGGGACTTCAAGAGAGATGCACCTGGTGGCACTTGAACTGAAACCTAAAGGGTTAGTAAACTCTGAGCAGGCAAAGAGGGAAAGGAAGACAGTTAAACATGGATACATGGGTGGATGTGCAAAGGCCCTGTGGCTGAGCAGCATCAGTTTATTCTATGCCTATTTATTGGTATTAGAAATACAGTCGGGACAGTCTCCCTGGAAGATTGATGTGGCAGGTACAGGGAGGGAGGTTGGTGCTGAAGCACAAGAAGTGCACCAGGTTTGTGACAATGGAAAAAACTGGTCTCTGTCCTAGGAGCCCTGGGGAGTCTTCAGAGTTTTAAGCAGGGGTTAGTGATGGCTGGCCAGACAGGTCATCAGATACATGATCTCAGTTGACACCCCAGCATGATGCCTGTGACTTTTGTCCTGGTGACATTGTCCACACCATTGTGGGTAAAAATGATGTCCCCAGCAGAAGCCCCACTTGACACCAACCATCATGTGCTGTTGCCTGCCCCATGGCCACTGACAGCACCCCATCTTTGCACTTGGAACCCCCGAATCCTCTCTGATACTCCCCTGCCCAGCTGGTGGGTCATTCATTACAGCCCCTCCTCTCCCCCCTGCCCATCACTGAGGTCTTATTTTACCTTGAATGTTTTCTCCCCAGACTGACAAGAGTCTCCCAGTGAGTCTCCCTGCCAGAGACTCACCCTCTCTACACAGAAACACAGTCCTCCCCACACACTCCTCTACAAAAACATGCAGGGACTCCTTGTTGCACACGCAGGAGCAAGCTGGAACTTCTGAGCTTTGTATCCCTTTGTATCCCAGTTTCTGAGTCTTCCTGCTCCCTTCAGAAGCTGGATGAACAGTGTGCAGGTCCCTGGATGTGCCCCATGCTGTCTCTACCTCTGCACCATTGCTCAGGCTGTTCCCTTTTCCTGGAGTTCCCCGCACTGTGCTCAGCTGCTTCCACGGGGCCAGCACAACTGAGTGGGGTTCTGCACCAGAATTCAAACAACTATGCTTTAAAATGTTGCAATGTTAACTTGTCCATGATTTTATGCCCCAGGCCAGCAGGATGAGCAGCTGCACCCCCTCCATCGCTACCACTGTCTAGGGAGGCTTCCCTGGCCTTCCCCTCCCCTCTGCCCCCACAATACTCCAGACTTACAATGACTAGTGCACTGATTCTATTATCATCATTAGTTCACAGAAAGCTCCTCCTACGGACCTCTTGAGAGGTAGTCTCAGTATGTTTGGTTCCCCAATCCTACAGGGGTCAACTAAACGAGAGAATCAACAGTCTAGGGCTCCTGGGTGGGTCACTCTTGGTAATGGCACTGGGGCCTAAAATGGCCTAAAGCAAATGTAAAAATTTCCGAGGGAGATAGACGCCCTTGGCTGCCTCCATATTACCATTCTCCACCCCCATCTCCTTCTTCCTGCCAGGAAAACCCGCTTCCCATCATATAAAATCACTTTCCCAGGCTCCTTTGCAGCTGGGGAAAAGGCATGTGACTCAGTCCTGGTCAGATGTTACTCAATGGGGAAGCTGCTTGCAAAAGTTTTGTTTTTTTTTTTTCCCTTAATGAAAAGAAATAGCCCTGCTTTCTTTTTATTTTGATATAATTTCAAACTTCAAACAAAGAACTCTTCTCCTTGAACCATTTGAGGGTGTTGCTGACACAATGCCCCATCACTCCTGGATATTTTGCAAATAATTTACAAATAAGAATGTTCTCCTACCTAACTCCCAAACGACCATCAAAATCAGGAATGAACATTCTATCATCTAATCCTCGGATCCAATTCAAGTTTCACCAGCTGTTCCCACAAAAAAGATCTGGTCCAGGATTGTGTGTTCCACTTAGCTCTCCTGTCTCTTCAGTCTTCTGGGATTCAGAAAGGTTCCTTATTCTTCCCTTGACATTTATGATCTTGGCATCCTAAAAGATTAAAAAGCCACTGATTGAGTAGAGTGTCTGTCAAATTGCATTTGCCTGACACTCTCCCATAAGCAGATTCAGGTTACACATTTTTGGTAGGAATGCCACAGAAGTGATGCTATTTTCATTGCACATTGTCAGATGATACAAGATTTGTATCTGTTCCATTAGAGTTGACATTAAATCCAAGCACTTGATTATGCTAGGCTTTTCCATTGTAAAGTTACTCCATTTCTGTTTGCACTTAATGAGTATTTTGTGGGAAGGTATTTTGAAACTATTTTAATATCCTGTTCCTCATCAAAATTCCCCCCACTGGTTCTTAGTATCCATTGATGTTGCTTGACTGAATTATTACTGTGAAAGTTGCCAAATGTTGGTTTTTCTAATGCAGTCAGTCCTTCCATGTTAATTAATTAGCATCCTACTATATGAAAAGCTCCATCTTCTCCCTATTTATTCATTATTTGTATCAGTTTGGAGTTACATATTTCCATTTTATTAAATTGTTTGTCATCTATTACTATCACTACTTATTTTCATCCTCAAATTGTCCCAAATTTGGCCAAGGCACGTTCCTTCATGTTGGCTGTAATGTCCTTTCGACAGGTGTCAATCATTTTTTTAAACACAATTTTTCATTCCAGCACAAGAAGGGATTCCTGACAAATTCTGTTTTGTTTTGCTTTGTTTTAACCCCAACTTTGGGAATCAGCTCTTTCTCAAGGAGTTTCCTCCTCGTAAACTAGGTACCAGGGGGTTGCAACTCCAACCCATCCTAGAACCTTGAGGAGACAAATGAGCAAGCCATGAAGTTGAGGAGGATGGAGCTGAGAGGTCCTTGGTTACGTCCCCGAGTCATTGAACTCATCTCCGGGCTTCTCCTTACATGAGACAAGCTCTTTATATCTTACGCAGGGCGGTATGTGTCCCCCCTCCTCCCCGGTGTAGTATGTTTCCTCCTCTTATAACTGCTCCTTAGTGGCATCTTGTTGACTGTAGCCAGAGCAATGGGAGCGCTACGCAAAACACGTCATGCTTCACCTCGGATGCGTTACACATTTCCGGAGCCATTACATGCCCTACCTCATTGGGATTTGTAATCAGGTCTGTCTCATGGGGACACAAGTGACAGTGACCTGAATGCTTGATTCTCTGGGTTATCAGAACCTGGCCCCAGAAGGTTTGGCTTCAAAGACAAGAAAGTTACATGACAGATGAAACTAGGTAACAGCCCAGATGGGATGATCCTGTTGAAGGCAGAAACACCTTTGCTCCTTTTCCTCAGCTGCAACTTGCATTCAGTCAGATCCTGCTAATGTGAAGCAAAAGGAGCCTTTGGTCTCATTCCTCCTGTTCTGTAACAGGAATCACAGGCATAAGCATAAAATGTTTCTTTGGTCTGAGTTTGGGACAATGTTAGTTCCAGAGCAACAGACAAGATTTGGACATGCCAACAAAAGAAAATACTCTCCATGCTCTCTTGTTGCAAGTGAAGGAAGTCCAATTCAAACTAGTTTAAATTTTAAAAAATGTTTTAAGTAGAGGAAATGCACATTCCACAATTTCTAGTCAGAAAGGTCAAGACAAAAACACCACCTTCAGGAACAACTGTATCTAGTAGTGCCGATCCTGTGGTTAAGCATCTGCTGTTTTTTTTCCACCTCCCACCTCTACTTCCATCCATGTCAGCTTCCTCCTCAGGCAGGCTCACCCAAATGGCAGCAGATATGCCCCCAGCGGCAGCTAAGGTCCCCTTTCACCTGTGGAGCCAGTGAGCCCACTGAAAAGAAATTGTCTCTTCTGGGGCTTTCTGGGAAGGACTTCAATTGGCCCAACATGGATCACCTGTTTATCCTTCAACCAATTTCTGTGCCCAAAGGTCTGGGATACTGTGACTGGCTGCCCTGACCACGTGCCTGCCAGCCAACCTCTGAGAGTTGGGCATAGAAAACCCCCTCACCGAAATCACATGAAATAGGCCTGCTTTTTTTAAAAAAAAAAAGCTTTATGGGCAAAGTGGAGCTGGCTCAGCTCTCTAAAGAGAGAAAGGGTAGATAAAATGATAGGGGCAAAGTGCAGAAAAGGAACAAGCCGAGAAGCTGGAAGGAAAGCAAGCCCAGGAATCTGAGGGGCTGAGATGGTTCCAAGACTGGGGAGGGCAGGTTCCAGAGAGGCCTGGAAGGAGGGGCAGCAAAGAGCAAGGACAGAAGCCAAGTCACAAAGCTCATCTTGAAGTAATTATCATGCCACTAAAAATCTCATTTGTACTGATATTTTTTTAATTACTGGCAGAAAAGACAAATGTATTTTAAGGCCTAAATAAAATGGTATTCCCTAAAGGAAATGTCTGAAGGGTTTTTACTGTGGCCTTTTTTTTTTTAATTCTATGAAAGATGATGGAGATTTACCAAGATGTTTTTATGGGAAAAGTTTAATAAATGTGAAGGATGTACTTCCATGAGTTCAAATATGGAAAGTTTTAAAATAGAAGAGTGACACAAGCGGCTAATGATCCCAATAAGTTAAATTATGCAGGCTGCTGGCATGAGTTCTGGTTTTTAATCAAATATATAAATTATGAAATATTGTTGCAAAGAATCATAAGCCTTTGCCCTACAAGGGAATGGTTTGTGCTGTGTTGACAGGAGAGCCTGGTGGAGTTCATCTTCAGCTGATAAGGAAAAAGGGGGCAGACCTGGGCGGGCAGGTGGGCAGGTAGGCATCCTTGGCTGATGCAAGGGGACCATCTGCTGCCAAAGCTGGATGCAAGAACATGCTCCAGCCAAAGCCCCAGGCCAAGTAGGAAGGCATCTGTCTATTCAACACGCCTGTGTGGTCCCTCCTCAGGGGAGGTGTCTGTGACATCTCGCACCAGAACCTGCAAACACAGAGCTTTCGACACTTGTTCCTACCTGAAAGGCCACCCTGTCTCACCTCTGCTTCAAGGCACAGTACAGACGCCCCCTCCTCCAGGAAGCCCTTGATGATTCCCCCCCCCTCCAGATGTCTCAGCTGACTGCATGATTGATGTGGCCCTTGAGCAGACTATATGTAGGTCAGACTCTGCGTTCAGGAGACATCCTGAACAAAAGGCAGCTCACTCACTCACTAGTTCCTTCTGGTATTCATTCATTCACCATGTGTTTACTCAGCACTTACTATGCCCCAAACACTGCACTAGGCATTAGAAATACAATAGTGAACAAAAGAGACTTGGTTCCTGCCCAAAAGGAGGAAAGGAACAAACAACACAATCATCCACTCAGACCTGTCTGCATACCGGCAGAATCCCAGCTCCTGATCGCCCCTGAGACATCCCCCAGCCTCCTGGCAAACAGGCCACTAGCCAGCCTTGTCCTTCCCACCTGCTCACCAAATAGATCCAACCTTTCCAGTGGCATCACATCGTCGTTGACAGTGCAGGCCTCAGGGCTAGACACTTCAAATCTAATCCTGACTCTACTGTGTCGCCTTAGATGAGTCATTTCACTCTGTTCCCAAGTTTCTTCCCTACAAAATGAGGAGAGTAATAGAATTCACCCTACAGGGTTGTCTGAGGAGTAACTAGGCTTATGCATGTTAAAAGACTGGAACAGCCTCTGGCACACTGTCAGTGCTCAATACCAGCTATGATCGATTTTGCTATTGTTTGTATGACTCAATTGCAATCTCCTCTGCTCTTGAAAACAGTGATTTTTAAAAATCCTGGTTTGTTTCTTAAAGCTCATCAATATATGTGATCTTTAATTTTCTTAGTTTTCATCTCTAAGACCCTCTGGCAAACACCTAAATATGACCTTCCTACTGAGAGATTTTGGCATCCCACTACAGACACACACACACACAATTGTGAACATAGACACTACAGTCTTTCTTTACTGGTAAAGCCTACCTGCCATCTCAAAGCCAGGTGTGGCCTGCCCTGCATTTGTGCTGCATATGTTTTATGAATGGCAAGTGGCTCTGTTGACCCTCAGACTTACAATGGGTCCCACAAAGTCTTAAAAGAGTACCTAGGGAAGTATCACAATAATAGGATCGTACATTTTATGTCTCACCTAACTTACCCCAGAACAAAAACAACCCAGGTATTGAAATCCCCTAAGGTCAGCTATTTAGAAAGTGGAGCCAGCATTTGCTACTCACATTGTACCAGGAAGATCATGCTTAGAAAAGTGCTTCTCAGACCTAGCATTTATAGGTTAGGGAGCTTGTTAAAATGTGGGTTCTTGTTCAGTAGGTCTCAGCAAAGTCCTGAGATTCTGCATTCCTAACAAGCTCTGGGTGATGGTGCCCTGGTCTGGGGACCACATGTGGTGCAGGAGAGCTGGAGCATGTCAGAGTTGAAAGGGCTGGTTAGAAGCCAGGTGATCCAGCCCCTCACCTGAAAAGGTTAACTAAGCCCAGAGAGTACAAACAGCTTTATTAGGGTCACACAGCAAGCTCAAGATCACTTGACTTCCAAGTCAACACCCTTTCTGAATCTGCTAACCAGAGACAGTGCTCCAGGGCCTACGGGAACTGGGCAAGGATGTTAATGCATGAAGTAGGCCAGGCGCCAACACACACTATTTGTATGACTGCTTGTTGCTTCACTTTCTAAAACACTAACAAAACATACCTGTAGAATACAAACAACTGGTCTGTGGGTGGCAGTTTGCATCCCCTATAACCTGAGGCCAGGGCTCAGCTGTTTCTATAAAGAACCAAATAGTAAATATTTTAGGCTTTGCAAGCCAAGTTGCAAGACTCCACTCTGCCGTTGTAGGAGAGCAGCCACAGACAAATGCATACAAATGAGCATGGCTGGGTTCCAATAAAACTTTATTTACAAAATCAGGTGGTGCGTCCCATTGTGCCAGTAGGCCATAGTTCACAAACTCCTGCCTCAGCTGATTAGACAAACTGGGTGGGAAATGCCCTTTATTTATACAAACTGCAATTTATGAAATAGTATTTTAAAAACGCAACTTGCGTCTTGCAAAGTCAGTAAAGTGCTGTAGTCTGTGAGTCTGTAAACAACTCTGGAAACAACTCCTATGAAGAAATCCACCTCAGAGAGGAAGCTGGTTCAAGACATGGTGTTCACGATGTTCCCAGTTCACGATGTGACAGTTTCTAAGTCAGGGCAACCAAGGCTTTTCCATCTACGAGAAACTTTGTGGCTTGCTTCCGTAAATGGACTGGATTCATCTGGGTCCAGAGGTTATGAAAACAGTCATTTCCTTTCAGAAGTTAAACTTGTCTCCCCCTCTCCCCCTTACGTCCCTGCAAGTAGTTTTCACACCACAGAGGACTCGTGTAAATCAATTCAGTAGTGGCTGAATTACCACAAATTCCAGGTGAGTGTGTGGATCTGAGAGAATGAGCACTATACCTATACACGCATTTTTTAAAGAAAACATTTTTTTTTAATCAAAGGGTTGTTAAAATAGGAGCCTGGAAGAAAATGCCAAGTACTCTAGATGAGAGACTCACAGCCTAAGACGAAAACTCCTTATTTTGGACTAAG